AGTCCCTGCGGCGTACGGACAATGTGAAATATATTTAAAGCACATAACTAACGGGATACAATGTCCTTCAGCACTAGGTAATAGCAATAAGAAGCTCAAGTGTTTATTTAAGTTTATACATCGAAAGAATGTCACATAGAATTTAGTTTCATTTGAATGAGTTTGTCTTCTCAAAACAGAGGACTAAAATTATTAATTAAGCCACAATCGAACAAAACTTTCTAAATATTATATAAAAACGTGTGTATTCTTACATTTTCGAGAAAATGGGGTGACTCGGTCTTAATTTGACCAATAAAAAAAATATGTGATGACGTCATCAAGATAAATAAGAAGCAGTAATAATACTATTAATAAAAATCCTTTTCTAAAACCGCATTAATTACCTTTTAGTAAAAAGTTTATTTTCATTGGAATAATTAACAGTTTGTTATAGTAACAACTTCTCCAAGATTTTCAACAGTGATGAAATTGGTCCATAATTTCTAACTTTGTTCACCTTTTCACTGCCTGGGGGTAGGTATGTAATCAAGTTTATCTCGTTTCTGTCTATCTGTTTATCGTCTGCCGTCTGTCAGCGTCATGTCGATTTTTATTAAATATTAATTGTTGTCAAATTTTGTATGTTCCTTAGAAAAATTGTGTAGACGGTAAAACGCTAACCAAAATTTGCCTTATCATCCCCACCGACTGTGATATGACGTCACCTCCAACTTTTACAATAATAAATGTTATTTAAATTTTGTAATGTAACACACTCCTGTACTTGTAGTTTATGAATCCGTGTCTGCTTTTTACCCCAGACATCAGATTTTCGGGAAAAAGTCAAAATTTTATAGCATCTTACAATTTCACTTTGAAATTGCAAAACCGAATGTTTTGAAAGGTTTTAACCAATATTCTACAAGACACACGATATCGATTAAAACAGCTTCTGGCTAGTTTAGTATATTACGATGACACTGTGCACTTAAAAATAAGAAAGAAACAAGTATTTTACACCTCTTAGACTTTGATTGCTATATTTGATAATTCATACTTTTCCTTGTTCTTTCAATTTGTTCACATAATGAAAGCGAGAGTGGTTTACATCGAGATCAGCGTTTCCATTATTCTTATTCATTCGTATACAGTTAATACAGCTTTGATCCAAAGGACAGTCATCTATCTCATACTCTTGGTTTCTGGAATTTAGGCATGCAGCTTCCACTTTGCAATCATTGCTAACGTGATTAAAACCACCACATTCGTAACAACGCAGCATACTCACGTATTCATAAACCGAACACATATTCCACTTTATAAACACTTCCCCCAATCCATTAGCACAGCTAAAGTTGCAAGATCTGCTTCCAAGATTGCACTACATATTGTCTTCATGTTTTTACGTACCGATAATTTCCCTTCCGGCATGTTCGCCATTCCATGATTTTATCACAATTTTTTATTTCTTCCTCACTATAGGGTTCTCTAATTCCAGCGATTTTAATTTTTGGATTGGACTGTCACGAACAGTGAATTTAAAATAAAAAACTGAGGTTAGACTCTTATCAAACTGGAACTGATAAACAGAAAATTTACGCAAAGAGAATCATTTACTGGTTTTTGGCGGAACCTTATCCCTGATTACTACAGAGTGTAGCTAATATAACTCCATACATAGGTTCTTTTTTATCCAATAAGAATCTTTATAAAACCATCTGTAGACATTAATTTTGGTGACCTGATTATAAAAACCTTATCCGAGTAATTCGAAGCCTTTTTTGTACGGGGAGCAGCACCATATTGTGGAAAATATAATTACTAGATGGATTTATAAGCACAAAAAAATTAAGAATAAGCGCTTAAATAAGCACAACATTTTCAATAAAAAAGTTTTATTTTAAGCAAAAAAGCATTAAAAACATAATCATATTACAAATCAAAGAACACTTCTTAGAACTTTGGATAAAATATGATTACAATAATCCTAGACTTTATATTTTACACACGTATTTCAGTTGTCTTTAAAACAATTTATGATTGTAATATGTTCCAAGTTGTCCACTGTAAAATTTTTTCGCCGATCATTTAAAGTGTGTTTAAAATTGGAGAATGTGCGTTCAACATCCACACTCGTTGTTGGCGCAAATTTGAATTTTCCAACTAATGTTGAATCTAACTCCAAATTTTCCACCTTCTGGCCTTGTAAAACACGAGCAACGTCGGAAAGAACACCGAAACCTGCATTTTTATTTAACACTTCATCAAGTTTTTGAGATACTCTAGTACCAATATCACCCCTTACTGCGTTTGCTTGTTGTTTAAATTCTTTCACTAAGTTTATGGTATCTACCAACAACATGTTGGGTTTTTCTATTACCTCACATACGAATTGATAATTGCTTCTTAGAAAAGCTAGATCTTGAAGCAAATCTTTGTTTTCCAAAATATTTATGCAATCTTTAATCGATTGAGAAGAATCTTCGCTAAACTCCGTAACTACTTCCTCAAATTCTTTGATATATTTGTTATAATAAAATGTGGCCTGTAACCATGTTACCCACCTCGTTATAATCGGCTCTGGGGGCAATGGTATGTTTGGAAATTTTTCCTTAAAATGTTGCACTCTTAGTGGGGATTTAACATAAATCTTTTTACCATTTGCCACTAATTTATTAACAGTAGGAAACTGCAAACGTATTCCTTCAGCCACTCTGTTTAAACCGTGGGCAATGCAAGTAGAGTGAATTAAATTGGGGTACAATATTTTTAGATTATTCCCTGCTTTCAACATATAACGAGCTGCATCCGAGATCATCAATAAAATTTTATTCGCCGGTACGGCATTTGGCAAAAATAGTGACGTAAGACTGTCATTCACTAATCTGGTAATCGTATTGCCATTTGTTTTATCTAACATTTTCAAACTTACTACATACCCTCGACTAGGGAAATTTTCATTTGAGATTCCAACAATTAAACTTGCCACGTATCTTCCACAACTATCGGTTGTTTCATCGACAGCGAACCATAAATAATTATCTCCAATGCGATGTTTAATTTCGTTGTAAACTTGCTGAAACACTGGGCCTACATAATTTTTTCGGAGAGTACTTTCAACCGGAATATGTCGAGTGCAGTGTTTTTCAAGGAATTCTTGAAGAGGGCCTTTCTCCAATCTTTTTAAAGGTATATTGGATTGGATCATCATTTTACATAAATCGAAATTAAACTGCTCATCTTTTGTGGAAGTAGATGCAACAGATTCATGTATGGTCTGCTGTTTAATTTTAGAAACTTCAAACATTTTCTTCCTTTCTACATGAAGAGTCGTTCTGACATGTTGCGTCACGTTATATTTTTTATCACTTTGAATCTAAAACAACGTACATATACAGGATTAACAAAGGAAAAAAGATAAAAAAAAATTAGTGGGCTTACGGTTTTCACACAAGCTCTGCAGAATATTTTGTTGTTTTCTAATTTTAATTCTGGAAAATCCCTTATCCACTCATCCGGCGTCGATTTTACTTTCGGCATTCTTTTAAAATATCAGTAATATTACCAAAAAGAACTCAACATGTAACAGGGGAGAACCACGTATAACACTGTGCTACGACAGATGCGATAGACTGATGGTTGTGAAATAAACGGTTCATTTACTTAAAAGTTTCCATTAGAAAAATTTTAAGGTAGGTAGTTGGGTACAATAATCCTTTTTTCTAGAAAATCTTTAACGATCTTGCCGCAAAATGCCGAAAAAGAACATCTGGTTAAAAGCTTTAATTCATTACCAACGGAAGTAAGGATTTAAAGTCATAAAATCTATGGAGTATTTTTCCAATCCTATAATAAAATTTTATTACCCAAACGACCGGAACCTATTCACAGAAGGGGTCTTGAGTAAGTGTACTTCAATGGTCAAGTCCAGGTAAAATGCATACGATACGATACGGTTAACTAACAAGAATTTGTCATCCCGACAAGGCCGGCATTTGAACAAAATATGCATTAAAACTCATATTCGTCGAAAAAAGCATTAAATAAGCATATAAGTTTTAATTTGCATAAAATTCAAAAAAAAGCAAATAAGCATAAAAAAATGTGTCAAATGACTCCAAATTGTATCATAGTTACAGATATAAAAAAGTTTTGAAGTGCTTACATTTTTCACAAAAAGCATTAAACCTAGAAATCCGCTCTCTAATTAATTACATTAATGGCAACTACAACCAAAGTCAACTTTTTCAGTCATGTAATTTGTCCTAATATTTAATTTTTAATTCTTTATTTTATTCACTTCCTTTAGGATTCTACTGATATTTCAATAAGAAATCATTAAAATGCAGTGACTCGGGCTGACGTGCCTCGTCCTATGTCCTATATTAATCTCTACATGCAAACCAAATGCTTCTTAACTTCCTTTTTTTGTAGAATATTTGACCTCACGTGAAGACGGTTTGACTTTTACATTTGTTATAAGATGGTACATTCATGTCTCTCTAAAAACGAATGTCCTTGAACCTATCAACAAATCTTTATAAATGGAAAACTTCTAATAACCAGATGTATGATCTTTCGGAAGTACTTTTACCACTACTTTTTATAATGACTTTGTTCTTTCGTCACTAACAACGAACATACAAAATTAACCTGTATGATTAACACTGTCCTGCAAGTACGTACCAAGTCTTTGCAAGGCACGTATTTTTATTAGAACGTTTATTTAACTGTAAACAATTTTTGCAAAAGTCTTTAGGATATAAGAAATAAATAAACAAAAGTCGCAAGTGTGAACATGAGAACCAAACGTCACCGCGCCCGCAAACAATTGAGATTTCCAATTATAACCAGTTGTCTTGATCAAACTTGATGAACCCGTGATGTTATTACTTTCGGATGAGAAAAAATCTGATTTGAAGATGTTCCAAGGTCTACGTCTTTTGTTAATTACATTATTTGAACAGAGCTAGGTGTTGTGTACTTTAAACTTCGTAACAATAGTCGTAACTCGTCCGCAGAATAAAGAATACGTAGAAGAGAGAATTAAAATTTCAGTTATCAGTAGCTTTCAGACGAGCGCGGAAATTATGCAACAACTATTTTATCTGAAAAGTGTGCATGTTTTCTAAATTATTCGCACTATAATTTTGCCAAGAAGCGAGCGGCTTCGCTAAACTTTTAATATAAGAAGATTACGATACGCCACTAGGGAACCGTAATTAGATGGACACGGCACACGTAGACAACAAGTAAGTAAACTTAGAAGTTAAAAAACGGGGTAGACTGTAGGAACAAATATTATTACTTAACTTGTTATTGTTACTGTTTAATATGCAAACATTTTAAAACAAATTAGAGTACACTTTATGTATCAAAAACACATGTGGAACATTTTCAAACATTTAATAATAAATGAAATTTGATACCGAAGTACACTTTAAATTATTTCTCATTTGAATAAAGTAAATGTAAGAGTAATCGGTGAAAAGTTTTGAACAACAATACTGAAGCAGGTCATACAGTATTACAAGACAGTGGAAAATTTTTAACAAAAATGTCATTATTTAAGACAACTTATCTCTCAAACTTCATGTTTTTGTCTCTTTTTTAACAAAATTTAAACGAAATATGTTTGCAAAAAAAATACTCCTAAAATTTTACAATTAGTGTAGTTGAGACACTACCAAAACTAACCAGAGAAATAAATTTTTGCAACCAAAACTAGGATCGAAGGTTTTATATTTTCGACAAAATTTGTACATGTCTGTTTTGTATGAGATTATTAAGACCAATATTTTTAAAAAACATTCATTTAATAATTTATTGTCTGCCCATTTCTCAATTGTTAACTTAGTACTTCAGAATATAGGGCGTGAAGTACAAACAGAAATTATTATTGCAACTCAATATCTGATTTGTAATTTGAATATTTCCCGATACAAGTGTCACTAGGGATTTCTGACACCAGCACGGATAAACATATCAGAATAACGCCAAATAGGCAAGTGAACTGTGAAAGACAATTAATGATTTTTGCATCGATATTATTACATTATTAGTTTAGGAAATTGTATTGTTCGGAAAGTTATTGCGCTTTTTGCGGCAGTTTGTAACATACGGATTTTAAAGACGTGTGCCGGATTTCAACGAAATTTTAATGCCTTACGTTTGTGCATTACTTCGATAAAATAGGAAAACGTGTTTCGGAAAGTTCCGAAAAAAAATTTGTTTTCCAAAGTTTCAATTTCTTCTAGTCTAAGATCATTTTAGATGCTTTCCACCTGAAGTATAAAATAGTAAGGACAAATTAATTTTAATTACAAAATTAATACTGTTGGAGAAATCTAGAGAGGAAAAAAATGAACAAAACTATTCATAAATAAAATCAGATTCGACAGTGTGTCTCCGGAAATATTTGACACATTTTTTTAAAGATTGATAAATAAGATTTATTTTTGTATGTTCTCAACAAATTATTAACATAATTTTGAATAAAAATATCTATTGAAATAAACAATAAGCAATCTTTTTGTGTTTTAGTAATATTATAAAGTACATACGTTAAAAAATTAAATAATACCCTCAAAATTTTCTAATTGTTCTAAATTTATGAAAAAGCATCAAGCCATGATTTATGTTAAAAACGCTGATCGTAACGTCCATGCTTTAGAGGAGAGGGAAGTTCTGCATAAACAAGTTTACAAATCTTTTTTTAAATGAAATAAACATAGATGAAACTCCATGGTCTTATATCCTAAAAATAGATAGATATGTAGAAATACTGTAATGGCCGTGGTTTTTAGCTTGAAGGGGGAAGCTTAATTTTGTACATTGCAAATAATACGACCACGTGATGATAATAATTTTTTTATAACCAATTTTGATTAATTATATGTTAGGTATATCAGAACTCTACAATATTTGTAGTAGTAGTAGTAGTAATTTATTTCACTCAACTTCTTTTCTTTTGTATTTATAAATATATTTTTTTATTGACTGAATATGAAGTGCTTTACATAATAATTTAATGATCTATCAAAATTCACTAAAATATACGCTTATTGTCTTATAAATAATAATTATGTTTACCTCAAAAAAATAGCTTTGCCGACGTCATATAATAATTACATTTGCAATGTACTAAATTAAGCTTCCCCCTTCAAGTTAAAAACAATTGCGTTTATAGAATTTCAATGCCCTTATTCGCTCTTATGATATAAGGTTGCGCAATTTTGTCTGGGACACTGCATATAATCAAAATCTGGCATACTGTTCATCACTTTTTCTTTTAGTGAAATACGCTATATATTTTTACATATTTTGATTGACTTCTTCTTAGGCTTTACAACCACAGTTTGTTTAGAAAATTCCGATTCGACGTTGCGACGTTATTCCAATTTTCTTGAAATTTTGTAATAATGGAACGGTCCACAAAAAATCTCAATAGGGTTATCTTCAAAATCGGTGTTACCATATTTTGTGGACAGATAACTAAAGGTACGTGCTTTGTTGTAGTATAAAAATGATATTATCTTTTCATATACAGAATGTGTACAAAAAATAATTTTTACATTTTTCAAATATCGATATTTCAGTTTTTTCAAATAGAACTATCTATCTTTTATTACTGCATCTTATATTGTGTTCTCTTTTTTTTTTTTCGTTGGTTGTGTTTAATTTTTTTACTTCCCGAGCGTAAGCTAAGAAAATAAAGTAATCAAGTCCATTGGACGAATTTCCACTTTTCATGACCCCTAAGTAGGAAAAAAGTAGTCTCCGGTTTCCGTCTGTCTGTATGGTGTCTGTATCAATTTTTATTAATTAAAAACGAATCAGTCACACCATTTTCTCGAAAATGTGAGAATACACTCGTCTTTATATAATAATGATAAGAATTATAATGCTCATAACATTTTGTTCGATTGTGGTTTAATTAATAATTTTAGTCCTCTGGTTTGAGAAGACAAACCCATTCAAATCAAACTAATTTCTACTTGACATTCTTTCGATGTATAAACATAAACAATCGAACTTAAGCATGTGCACTGATAATAATACACTATTTTCCGTTGGTTATTTGGTTTGAATACATATATTTTATATTGTCCGTATGTTTGCGGACGGCATTTACACCACTGGTTTTTACTATAGAAAGGTTATCAGAAAACAAAAATAGTATATAACAGTATAACTTTTCAAAGGAGCAAGATTTGCTGGACTGTACTTCAAGGGCGAGGGAAGTTCTGTCGAAGTAACCTAGGACCAATTTTTTTATTTAAAGTACCTACTGCGATTTTCTACTTTTTTAAGAACCACATCGACATATTAGAAGGATAAAATCAAAAATAGAATAAGATACAGTAATGAAATACAAGGTGTTATATTTGAAAAATCTAACATATCGATATTTAAAAATTGTAAAATTTAAAATTTTTTATAAACCCACCTTATTTATTGTTACACAAAATATTCAACAATATTTTTAAAAATAACCCTATTACATTTTTACTTTCCCAGCGTAAGCTAAGGAAGTATAGTAGCAGAGTCCATCGGCCGAATTGGACTTTCATTTTTTTTGCCAAAACGTTTCAAGAAAATTGGAATAACGTGGCAACATCTCATACGAACTTGAAAATTAAATTGTAGTTATAAAGCCTATGAAGAAACTAATGAGTATATGTGAAAATATGTAAGGTGTTTTATTAAAAAAAAAAAACTAAGTCGGGTCTTACGTTTTAAAAACAGAACACTCTATATAGTTAAAAATATTTTGCGAGTATAGTCCTCAAAGAAGCCTACAACTTTGGTATGTGACTTTTTTCTGTCTCCGATATCTTAATTACTTTTGGATAAAAATGTTTGAAAATTTCAAGTAAATAACATTTTTAATCAATAGTATGCCACATTTATAATTATATACAGGATCCCAGACGAAAAAAACTCCGTAACGTTATATCATAAGAATGGGTAAAATTATTGAAATTCTGTAAATTTTTGTGGAAAAAGTTGTTTTTTTTAACAGTCGATACTATTTCTTGAGTAGTGTCTAGAGTTCTGTAAGCTAAAAACAGTGGTGAAAACCGTATTCCAATATTTCCATAGCTAACTGATATATTCATTTTTAAATCTACGTAATGAAAAAGGTCATCAAAATGCTAAAAAATGATGATAAACTATTTTAAAAAAATTAATCTTACGTTATATACTGGAAATTTTGAACAGGTTGTATTTAAAATTTGATAATAATAAGGCTGTTAATAACAGCCAACAAACGTAGGGACTTTTCATAGCGAATTTCAGCATTGTCAAAAAATCCGCTAATTAAAGTAGAGTTCGCCGAATAATGAACATTGACTTTAAGTCCTTATTGGAAGCCCGCAATAACATCAGGATTATGGTGACGATGTACAACGTTTGGCTACCTTTGGGTTATTTGTCCGAATCGGATCTCGTTGATCATTACAACCTAAATTGTGTTGATGCACATCTGATTCATAGAACCTTTGTTCTTTTCAGGCAAGCAATCGGAGGGGAAGTCAGAGCAGTAAATTATTTATCATTAGCATAATCTTAAGTGGCTTCTAATAAACAGAAAGTTAATGTTCATTATTCGGCGGACCCAACTTTACCTGAGATAGTCAATTCATCTGTAAAAACATTCCTCCAGAAGATATTATTTCAGTTTGTTTGTTTTTTTTATAAACCTACATTTTTTTACAATACCGGAAAATGATTATAAACGTTATTAGACCCATAAAAAACATCTGTTTCACAAAATGAAGTACAATATTAGCAGTTTACAATATTTAATTAATACATTTGCTAGTTAATATTTTGAGTTCAGAGAAATCGTATAATTTATAGTGAATATCTCCATTATTTTTCTTTAAATAGTTCGCCAAATGTAAAAGTTTCAAAAGTCGAACGATCAGAGAGTATGAAAATAAATAAAATTTACGGCATTAAAAATAAAAACAAGTGATTCTACAAAACTAGAAAATGAAATGCATTACAAATGAAAATGCAAGCATAATAATGTAACAAAATTCTAGTAGAGTTGTTTTTTTTCAGCTCCACTGCTCCTCCATACCCTCCTCAACAAAAAGATCACCTTCTCGTTCCTAACCTATGTATGATTAACGAAACCTCCGAAAATGTCGACGAAGACGACGAAGTACTGGAATCACCGTCTTCATCAAGAAGACCCTCTGCCATCATCGCAGCTTTGCGACGCCCTTCTCAAGCGATCGCTTTATCGGCAGCACAGGCCGTAATGAACCAGAGAAGGTATCTTTTGAGTCTTTTACATGGCCAGAGCGAGCGATCGATTTCAGAAAAGGATACAAGCGATTATAAGGAAGAATTGATCAAAAAACAAAACCGAAAACTAGGCGAGTAAGTGAAAGATTTAACTGCAAGGGAGAGAAAAAACAGTTATATTTCTGTTTAAACAGCGATGCTTTGACCACAATTCTCTCCGCCCTCTACGCAAAGCTGCTGGTCGTCTTGGGAATGGCTTTTCCGATTACGGAAATCATATCGAAGGACGTGCGGCCTTTCTTCTACCAGGGTTTTTATTTGTATTTATACTTGGGCAGCATCGCTTTCGTCTGTTATATGTACGCAACCTTCGTCAGGGAAAAGGCAGTTAACAATATCATCAACTCCTACAGTAAGTTTACCATTTTATTTATGTCGGCTACGTTATTAATTTTATAATAATTTAATAAACCAAAGATGAATATATTTATTTACGTTTATGACACATTCTGTTTGTATTTTAGTGCATATTAGACACCAGAGTGTGAAAAATTTATGCATATATCAACTTCAATCAGACCAGTCGTGCTAATTTAAGATACACACAATAAACCTATGCCACTGTTCATATGATATACATAATATATCGGTATAAGCTTCTGCAAAGATCATTAATGAGTGTTCATAATAACAATCCCTAAACATTTACATTTTGAATTACTAAATATACGAATACGATATTATGAAAATTAAACTCCAGCTGCATGTGAACCCTAGGATCACATCATTGGATTTTATGTAGTTAACTCTGCAAACACCCATAAATAAAAATGTGTAGTGTGGTAAATAAAACGTCTGGTTTTACGGGATCATTGTGTAATTATTATCGGAAAACGACAAATATCACTACTTGTTGCATCCCGTTATTTGTATTCCGTTCAGACTTAACTATGGAATCTCTGAAATGTGGAAGATACGTTGATGGAAAGATCGATACAAGCATTAAATTCTGCTTTTATAAATAGCACTAACCTTTTCGAAAATATTAATGCCATAAATAGCTAGTAGAAAAAATGCTTCGTTTATTGTTGGACGACGCAAAAAAACGAATTTATTGTATTAATGAAACAGTGTTTTTTCTCCAGCCGCTTTTAAGTACAAAGCAATCGAACTGTGGATTGTCTAGAATAAAATAAAAATTACATTGAATTAATATAGATCGTCCAAATTCAACAAAAAACAATTTCGAACGTTATATTTTATCCATATTTACCGGTCATGTGATTGATGTTAATATACCTGATGTTCGCCGTAAGCAGTAACCAGTGTAGTCGTACTCTAAGATCTAAGTCAGCTCTAAATGATAACAATTCATGAATACCACAACAAACCTGCGGAACTTTATCTGTATTAAACGAAGGCAGCTTCAAATGAGCCTCACCTACAACCAGTGGCGGCTCGTGATCTTTTGAAATGGGGGGACACAATTTGATTGACGAGTTGAATATAAAGATATAAAACAGACTGTTATTATCAATTAATAGACGAAATGCAAAAAAAAGGATTTGTCCACCCACATACCTTTGGTTTTAACTCATTACTGAAGAGATACACAAAATAAAACATTTTATTATTTTTTTCACAACGGCACACCCACAAAAATTTATCATAGGTGTTGTGTCTATTAAAGTATGTATGAAAGTCTCTCGTTTTGCCATGAACACTTTTTTTAATAAATCAAACAATTTCACCGTGCAGAATGAAAATGAACGTCTGTAGTTGAATTACTGCTAGCGGTCACGCGGTTTCCATGGTAACGGTGTAAACAGAAAATCTAAATGAGTCATGATTGAATGTTCGTTCTTATCCAGATCTTACCAACGATATATCCAGGACGCAATATCTTTACATGTAAGTTTTGATACATTTGATACAAATGGAGCGAAATAAAAAAATAGTTTTGATAATTATGACCCAAACTTCAGGATAATTTTTTTAAATATTGAAAATTACTATTTTTCTATGTGTGTTTGTAGACGTTGTAATTTTGGAGGGCACGTGCCCTTGTGTCCCCTGACACCAGCCGTCCCTGCCTATAACCATAGAATTTTTCAACTGCAAATGTTTGTATCAGGCACTTTGATCAACAACTTAGTCCCAGAATATTTATTCAAGCTTGGTTTATTCTTACTACGCCAAAAATAGGTATGAAGTTATTAGAAACGTCCCTCCCTCCTGAAGTAGACTCGAACAAGTGCAGCTTCTCCGAAAAATTGTAACGTTTAATTCTGAGAAATTTTATTTGTGACAACCTCCATACATTAAATAAAAGTAGCTTACACTTAGGAAATAAAAATAAGATTCATTGTTTTTTTTTGAGATTCTTGCAGAACTTGTTTTTCTGAATTAATTTAATCACCCATACTCTGCCACTGCCTTTGATGTGAACGATTTATGTTACGAAAACACACTCTGTTATCATGCTTACATTTGGTCTGGCGAGGATTGTGGGGAAAGCGGGTCAACAATCAAACAATTGCTTCAAAATATGAATAATTTGATCAAATATTCAACAAGGCCAATTCCAAATGTGCAGTACTAATACTAACAAGTTTAGATAATACAGTCAGAGTATAAAAAAATAATGAACCAGTGACCTTCGCGTTAGCAACTGAAAATTTTTATGTCCGACCACAAACTTTACCGTACGTCAGTGCTTATTTTTTCTGGTATAAAATGTGATGATGCAATTTGGGTTTTTGCGAAAATGTGGATACCTACCGTAAAAAATCAAGGCAGCTTCATAAATCACAAGTATAGGAGTGTGTTATTTTATAATAGCAAATTGTTGGTGGGAATAATTAAACAAATTTTGGTCAGTGTTTTACTATCTGCACGATATTCCTAACGCACATATAAAATCTGACACAGTACCGGTTCAGTAGTTTCGGAGATTACTGTCTAATAAAAATGAACATAGACAGACGAGAGATAGACGGAAACACGAAGCCTAGTTTTTCGTACCCTTGGGGTCATGAAACGTCGAGAAAACATTAAAGTAGTAATTCATCGGATGAACCTTATTATAATACATACTTCCTTGACCTACGCTCGCGAAATAAACCTTTAAAAAAATTAAAATAGGTAACTTCGCAACGTCACATGTGAATTAAAAAATAAAATATGCTTGGAAAGGCTACAAAATCACTCTAAATAAAAATATTTTGAGTGCCAAAAATAAAACTATATTCTGCATAGTTGAAAATAATTTTAGTTTATGCTGCACAACGAACGTTCAACTATGATCTTTCGCTTTTTAATTGCCGAACGTCTCGTCAAGAAGTATTGTAATAGGGTCCATCCAGCGAAGGGCTACTTTCATGTTTTCTCGACATTTCTTGATTCCAAGAGTACAAAAAAAGGGCTCCTCCTTCCATGTAGTTGTCGTCTACCTATGTCGACTTTTTACTTCCCGAGCATAAGCAAAGGAAGTATTGTAATCGAGTCCGTCGGCCGACTCTCTACTTTTGCATTTTCTCGACCTGTCATGACCCCTAAAGGACGAAGAAATAGGTCCCCCGTTTCCGTCTGTCTGTCCGTCTGTCCGTCCGTCTGTCCGTCTATCTGCCGTCCCAGATGGTTTACAGTTATGATAAGCATAATAAGTTTTTAGTGAAAATATATTTCCTCATCCCCCCTAAAAAATTAATGACGTCACATCAAAATTTTGCCGAATAAATCTTATCTAAAATGTACAAAATATGATGAGTCTGTACTTGTAATTCATCATTCCATTCATATTTTTTTGGATTTGCATATATAGAGTAATTAAAAAAAAAATAATGAATGCGTGAATATATTTTATTTATTTAATCAGGGACTACAAAACCAAATGCTTTGAAATCTTGGAGATGTTTTACAGTTATCATAGGCATGGTAAATTTTTACTCAAAATATATTTCCTCATCCTCCCCTAAAAAATTGATGACGGCACCTCAAAATTTTTCCGAAAAAATGCTATCTTAAATGTGCATTGTGCAAAGTATAATGAGTCTATAATTGTGATTTATTACTGCATAAATATTTTTTAGATTTGCTTATACGGGGTGTGTGAAAAAAATTAATGAATGAGTCAATTTATTTTATTGATTAAATCAAGAATTGCAAAACTGAATACTTTGAAATCTTGACGTTTTGAAATTATCCTAAAAATTTTAACTTTTTAATGAAAATGTATCTGTTTATCAACCCCAAAAAATTGATTACGGCAACTCGAAATTTTGCCGAATAAATTATTTCGCAAATGTGCAAAATATGAACAGACTTTTAATCATTGCATTCATATTTTTTAGATTTGCTTAAAGAGGTGACTCAAAAAAATTAATGAATCAGTCAATTTATTATTGATCAAATTAAGAACGAGCCACGATATTTTCTGGAAAATGTGAGAATACGCTCGTCTTCATAACAATAAACTAATGATAAGGCAAGAATTATAATAATATCATTAAGAATATTTTGTTCAATGGAGGCTTATGAATAATTTTAGTCATCTGTTTTGGGGCGATAAACTCATTCAAATCAATCAAATGACTACGTGACATTCTTCCGATGTAATGTATTCCCGTTGATAATGTGCTGTAAATAATTTTTTTGCACTCATGACCTTTTTTGATAGCTTTCGCGCATTCACCAGAGTGCGGGAGGTCGAACTTCCCGCACACGTGCATTTAACTTCCCGTTGCCATGGTAACCTTAAAATACTCGGGTAGTGTCAACATTGTGACGTGTTGACGGCGGTGTCAATGGCGTTGTTTATAAATAACTCACAGTTAATCTCTTCAGTTTAAAGGTTTATTCGTCGCAAAAAATATTGTACACAACACGTTCGTCAGCCTGCTTCCCGCATTCACGCAAATGCGGCACTCCCTTCGGTCGTGCCTCAAACAAGCTTTCATGCGGGAAGCAGGCTATCCCGAACTAGTTGCGTAAATTACTATTTTGCACTCATAACCTTTTTTGATGACCTTGGCGCATTCAACAGCATGCGGGACGTCGAACATCACGCACGGTAGCCGGTGCATCCTTGCCTTACTCTCTTCTCGCTTTCCAATTGTGCATCATTTTTAATAATTTACAGAAATAGTTTTATTTTCAGCCAGACCGACACTTGAAAATTATTAAAAATATTATTATTATTGCGTCGTGGATATGTCCACCCATTTGACAACGTCATTTCAAAAATTAGCTCGTTATATTCCTATACTTGAGGTTTATGAATGCGCCTTGAGTTTTTATCCTAGGCATCCAAGTTTTCCACAAAAAATTCAAACTATATAGTAACATTTTATACTAGTATTAGATGAACTGCAGATGCCAGGGAGGTTCTGTCCAATAACCTAAGACCAATTTTTATTATACTTCAAGGGAAGTTCGGAGATGAGACCAATATTGAGAAGAGTACACTTACTGATGACCCAATCTGTAAATCTAATTTATAGCTTTTAATCAATGGATGCATTTTAAATTAGCTCCTAGCTCTTCCTTATTTTACAGTTTTTTCTCAAGCTGATAATATTTGTATTTAATATTAATAGGTAAAATTACCGCCAAGTTCTTCTCTATAATATTGCACAAATTGTCCATAAAATAATATACGCAACCTCAGTACCTAAGCGTCAGTTTACTAGTTTTACATTTAAACTGTATGTGGTACTTACTATTAACACTCAATTACTTGGATACTATTTTCATAAAATTTTTGCCAACCTCTGAAGTATCTCTTTGATATATCCTATTCGATACATATACGTAATTTTATATAATTCTCCCTCTTATTAATTTAAAATTAAATTTATATTCATGAAATTTTAATTAAGGCTTATTATTATACTCTCTATTACAGACAAAGACAAAAAGGATAAACATCATGGCTTCTTTTCACATCGGATGTCCATTAATTTAAACAACAAACCAGTCAAGTACGGAAGCTTTTATTTACGCCTTGGCGCAGTCGGTAAGCATTTTTTAATTAAATTATTGAAATAAACAAAAGCAAGCTATCCTCCATAATCCGCTTAGTCAATAAGCCATAATTTAAACGGCAATTGCGCGCAATTAACTGCACTGATCGATTTTATTAAGCATATTATTGCAGCTTTTGGTATCGGCAGCATGGTCTATTCCGGACTCGAATTCGGACGATATTTCGAACTAAAGAACAATCAAAAGTGCGATTCCAATGCGCTTCAGGCTATAACACCGGCAACCCGAATGCTGCTAACGCTGGTTCAAGTACAATTCATATTTCTCAACACAAAGGTAACTGCTGTGTTACTCTGAACTTCCATTAGCAAAATAGATTGTCGTAGAAACTCGATTGAAATTGTTCCAAGATTAAAGGTTACAATTATTTGATCGGTATTTAGTTCTACGTAATTTGCGCTAGTTTCTTAAAGTAATGATCATATCACTTAACATGTCCTCTATTTTGAAATAGTTTTCAACTTTAAATTGTGAACAACGCAAAGTTTCTAAATACATTGGTGAATGAGTGTCAACAACTAAACAAATATGACAATAAACTGATTCATTTTGTGTACACACTATCTATTATTGTAGAACATGGACATGGACCGGCACAAGATTATAGCTAGATTTGGCCTAATGCACATGGTAGCCACAAACCTCTGCGAATGGTTGTATGTTCTTGTAGAAGAAACTAAACATGAAATAATACACTTGGGGGAACATGGACACAACACAACTAATTCGTCTAACCACGCCAAATATTGTCAGGAAGGAGAAGTAATGGGATCTCTTGTCAGAAATGCAAGTCCGTTCTTGTTTCCTTGCACCATTGAATACAGTCTAATTTGTGCTGTTATCCTGTTCGAAATGTGGAAAAAGGTGAAATCTGCGGAAGTGAAAGCCGAAGTTGCAAAGGCTTCTGACAAACACAAGGACGAAAAAGCAACAACACATTATGCCTTCAGTAAGTTTTTCTTCTCTTCACTGTTGAAACATTTTTCTTCAGATACATTTGCTCTATTAGCAATACTATGACGAAACAAAAATGCATAAGAACTGAAATTGAATTGACAAATTTTGGTGATCATGCTAACATTTTTACAAAAAATCTTAAGACCTATTTAAAATTTCAACCAATTGATATGTCAAATAATAAATATTTACTCAAATCCTTCTAAATTGAATAAAAAAGTGATAAACTCGCCAATTATACCCATTAAAATAAAATATCTAGCTAAATGAAAAAAGCATATAATAAAGAAGTGTGGTACGTGACTCTAGTGTTAATAATTGTGCGATAATGTTTAAAAATATAGTGCATTATTTGCCACTTACGTTAATAATACTTAATTATTTAATTTTTTTAAACTAATAATTCATGCAAATACTGTGTTTACACAACTCAACCACACTGTACAAGACTTACAACATGACCTGATTTTGTAAAATTATATCTTTTATAACTTGCAACTTACAACAAAATCACTTAAATTCTCCCAGACATTTACGTTTACCAAAATTCTAGCCCGATGTGTAAATAGAATAGCCATTTGGTGGATTCTTCCTACTGTAAAATTATTTGAGCGTTTCCGTATGAATAAATTTCGATTTAAACAATGCATAATTACTTTCAGATCCTTTCGGCGGTAGTCCAATGAATTCCAATCACCATTTCAGCGTGGACTGCTCCAACGCTCACCGGGGCTTATTCGCCGGGATTATGATCATCGTCCTGACCATAATTTCTTTGATAATGTTCTTCGTCCTGGCTAACGAACCGAGTGGAAGTGAAGAGGATAACTTGGCTCTCAGAAGCATGGCTGAATTTGAAGTGAACATAGTTGAATTAGCCCTTTACATATTGACCACAGTTGTGGTTATTGTAGCCATGGTGCAAATGCGCTCACTCAAGTACGACAGAAAAGTAGGGGGTAAGTAGATTTGTTCAAGCTTTTCCGTTGATTAAAATTAAAATAATGTTATCGTTAGTTGTTAAATACAAAGGTTTTAGAGTGTGAAACATTACTTATCAGGGATTAATCACTTGGCATGAATGAATTTTGAAGTTTTCTTTTCCTCAAAAATTGCCTCTCAAACACAAATGTACTTACTGCAGATCTTTCTCGTGTCGTCGTCAAAAGGAATATCTTTAATATATTACCATTCTTACTAGAAAAAGTGCAAATATTGCTCGGAATCCCTGACAGCGTCGACAAGTCTAAAAAATTTAAATAATAATCTAATCATTTAAAAGCTGCTTGCAAGTTGTTGACTGTTTTCAGTTTTTTATTTTATTTGTGACACCCTGCAGAATTATTGATAATAATTCTCGAGTTGTACATTTTGAAATCATGCAGCTTGATTGTAATAAACATTTTAAAAATAGTTGTTTCGGAATCTGACGTTTACATCATAGTCGTAGCATTCAAAGCATCAAATAATGTTCTAGTCATAAAAACAAAACTTATTGAATGGAATGGTATTTCTACCGGAGGAACTTCCCTAAAATGTTACGGTTTCATGTTAACCTTTTCTAATAATATCCAAAATAATACACAAATTTTAAAAACGGCTGGAGAACAGAAACAATTAATTGCTATTGTTTATTTTTAATGAAATTTTATTCAATACCTCTAAATATATGTATAATAATTACGGCAAATCTTAATTTATAAATTTGTCTTTCTCTTTGCCTCCTTTCTACACTACCACCTCGTCGGGTTTAACTAGAAAGCCCCGGATCTTAAAGGGTTAGTTAGAGGTTCAGCGATTGATTATTACCTCAAACTCTTGTCTCGAAGGTTTAGAAGGAATTTACACATTCTGACAAAATACACATTAATTATACAATACATACCAAATTATTTCCGTCTGCCTTTCTTTTCACCAGCATTCATGTTTCGTTCACGACTTTGCTCTATTCCAGTCTACTTTCTTTCACCAGTTTTTTTCTTGTGTATCTTCTCATGCAGTTTGATGTATTCATTTTTATCCTATTAAATTTTAGATATTAACTAGGTATCATAGTTGTGTGAAATTAGTTCTATTGTTTTCTATCTTATCCCAATAATTCAGCTCCATACATCAAAACAAGCTTCCCAAATTTTCAAAACAATAAAATTCGTTGCCTCGCATTTCGTCTAAACGTGCTTTCTTAAGGTTTCTTATGCAACTAGCCATTGCTTCTCTGGAAAATACACCACATACATTTTTATTCTTTTACTTCCTCTATAATTTTGCCATCCCAGATCCACTCCTGTTTGATCTCGCTGCCTTTTTCCCTTAAAACATTTGGCCCTGTTAAGATACTTCCAACATTTATCGTTTTATATACCCTTCCAAGCATCTAATCGCTAATGCTTCTCTGTAGATCTTCAATGCCTTGCTTTCCAATTCTAACCTCCTAAAACACAATATTTACAAATTATTTTGTCTAAACATATACAGCAAACGAACTGAATAGAAACGTCTTAGATCTTTTGTGATCCAAACATGTGCTTTCCTATTTCTTGTACCATTCATACACCACTTTTACTACATTCATTACTACACAAGGGTTGTATGGTGTATCGATTTTTTATCCTTTCCTGAAAACATCTGCCCGACTGTTAACATCTTCAAAGTCGTTTTTACTACTCGAGCATAAAGTAAGGAAGGATTGTAATAGGATCCACCCGACGAATAGCTACTTTCAAATGTTCTCGACGTTTCATGATCCCCAGAGTACGAAAAAGTAGGTCTCACGTTTGTCATCTGTATGTGTCGATTTTTCTTGAATAAATAATCTGCGAAACTACCGATTATTATCAAATTTTACATGTATGTTAGAAATATCGTATATATGATATATTTAGTTTTTTTAAATAACATACTCTTGTACTTATGGAGTAAGAAATCCGCCTTGATTTCGTACTCTAGGCATCCAAATTTTCGCAAAAAAATCCAACTTGTATACTAATAAAAACGGCACGATAATCACTATCTAAATGGCATACCGACTTGTCCTGGGACTTTCTTTGTTTGTTTGTTTTTACTTCCCGAACGTAAGCGGAATAAGTATTGTAATCGAATTCGTCGGCCGACTCTCTACTTTTACGTTTTCTCGACCTTTCATGACCCCTAGAGTACGAAGAAATAGGTCTCCCTTTTCCGTCTGGCTGTCTACCGTCATAGACTTTTATTAGATAGATAATTTCCGAAAGTACTGGGCCGATTGTTGTCAAATTTTGTATTTATATTAGGATATCATGTAGACGGAAAACGCTAACCAAAATTTGTCTAATCATCCCCACTAATAATGCGATAACGTCACTTCAAAATTGTACATGCTAAATGGGTTTTAAATTGTATAAAATAGCATAATCCTACACATGTAGCTTATGACTCCGTGTTGAATTTTTACCCGAAACATCCAGATTTTTGGAAAAAAAAATCAAAATTATAAAACAACATTTTGCAATTTAATTCTGAATCTGTAAAACCGAATGCTTTGAAATCTTGCAGATGTTTTAAGGTTATGATAGTCATGATAAATTTTTATTCAAAATATATTTACTTATTCCCACCGAAAAATTGATGACGTCAAAAAATAATACAAAATGTAGAAAATATCATGAGTCTGTAGTTGTGATTTGTCATTCCATTAATAATTTTTCGATTTGCTTATACAGGGTGACTAAAAAAAATGAATGCCTGAATTTATTTTATTGATTTAATCAGGAACTACAAAATGCTTTGAAATCTTGGAGATGTTTTAAAGTTATCATAATAATGGTAAATTTTTTATCAAAATGTGTTTATTCATCCCCCCTAAAAAATTGATGACGTCACCTAAAATTTTGCTGAACAAATCCTATCTTAAATGTAAAAAAAAAGTATGATGAGTCTATACTTGCGATTTATTACTGCATTAATATTTTTTAGGTTTGCTTATAGATACAGGGTGTCTTAAAAAAATTAATGGCTGAGTCTATTTATTTTATTGAATATTTTGAAATATTCCAGACGTTTTGAAGTTATTGTAAGCATGGTAACTCGTAAAACCCAAAAAATTGATTACGTCAACTCAAAATTTTGCCGAATAAATTCTATCCAAAATGTACAAAATATGATAAGTTTTTACTTGTGATCAAATTAAGAACGAGTCACCTCATTTTCCCGGATATGTGAAAATACAAACGTCTTTATTTAATAAGAATTATAATAATGATATTCAGAACATTTTGTCGATTGTAGCTTACTACTTAATAGTTTTGATCATCTGTTTAAGGGGACGAACTCATTCAAATCAAACAAATTTCTACGTGACATTCTTCGGATGTATAAACATAAACACTTTGAAGTTGTTTTTCTTATCGAGGATAACCTAAGGACGTACAGTAATGGAGTCCATCGGGCAATTTGGTACTTTCATATTTTCTCGATATTTTATAACCCCTAGTGACAAGGCCGTAGCTAGGAGAAGGCTAAGGAATTCAGTATTCCCCTAAATCTAGACAAATTATAATTAACCAAATATGAATTACAACATCAAAAATCAAAATAAAATGTAGTGTTTTATTCAATAAACGGAAGTCAGAGCAATAAAAAAGTCTGGACCGTGACTGTTATTGACTACACATTTATTTCCTAATCAGAAAATAACATTCATGTTTCCTAGACGTTTCATGACAGCTACAGCACGAAAAAAAAATTAACCTCTACAAACTACATAAAGATATTTAGAAAATCATAAAATGAACAGATCTGTTGAAACGCCTAAAAAAATCATACTCTAAAAACGTTTTCATTTTTAAAAACTTTACAAGCTTATGACATATATTTAAAAATCCAAATATTAAGTTTGTCTGTAATTAATTAGAAAACGCACGTATAATTGGTACAACATGTTTCCAAATGATTTTCATCTAGTCGCCTATGGCTACAGACTTTCATCAAAGGAAAGATAGGTGTTGAAGCGATTTCAAAACTAACTAGATGAAAATCATTTTGAAACACCCTTTATAAGGAAACAAACACAAAGTCTAATAGGTCTCTTTTTTGTTTTGCAGCTGAGGGCCAAGAAGGCATAGGCCTCGACAACACGCTCCTTGTAGTAGCCCAAACTGGCATGTTCATCTACTCCATGTTTTCAATAATAGGATGCTACTTTACGATATCTCGAAACACTACCACTGGACTCCTGGCTGAAATATTTTCTTTTATTCAAACCTGTTTGCAAACTATGTTTGTTTTGGATGGATGGTGGCGTCGCTGCCGTAATTTAGATCAAGTGAAAAATAAGCCAGCCAAAGAATTAATCACATTTCTCATCATTGCGAACATGGCCATGTGGACTATTAATACTCTGGAAAAGAATCGTGCTGAATTTAGACCTACGCATCTATTATTCTTCGGTGAATGGGCATGGACTATAATTACACACATTTCAATGCCGCTGGCCATTTTCTATAGGTTTCATTCAACAATATGTCTCTTCGAGATATGGAAAACTGCGTATAAAGTTAAACCTCAATTTAAAAACCCTGTGTTTCCTCTTATTTCGACTCCTTCAGTATGATATAATGGTGGTGGCAATAAACGAAAATATATTACAATTTTGTGTTTTATTTTACGGTGTGGTTTTTCATACAATGATATTAGCAAGTAATCATGTTAAAGTTCTTGGTCACTTTTACTTACCAAACGATAGCTAAACAAAAGAATGTACGAATAATACGTTCATTTTGTTGAATCATTTCATACTTTCTAGACGTTTCATAATTTGTAAAATATTAAGAATTTATTATTAACCCTCCAAACTAGTGAATACATTACTCTGAAATACACACACCTGTTGTATGGCTATCATGAAATTTGTTTTCTCATATGCTGCAAAAAAATTATGACGTCAATTAAAAACTGTTTTTAACTCATTACAAAGAAATGTTGAGTAATAAGTCTTTATTAAAAAATAGCCTAAAATGTAGCAGTGCTTGTACTTCACAACATTCACTGATTACAACAGGGTTCATCAGGTCCGTCGTATAAAATAGTACTCCTAGATAAGAACATAAAATGTTCTTATTAGTGTTACATGCCCTAAACATTTATAAATATTTGCTCTAAAAAAATAAATTAAGAAAATATTTATTAAAAAAATAGGTCTGTTGGTGCGATATTGCAGATGCTTCAATAACAAGAATAAATAATACTGCGTAGACGTACACGTGATCCCAAAAAAGCATTATCACCATTTTATCACTGAAATCTACGTCTGATTTGTGTGTTAAATGTATATATCATATAATACTTTTAATTTTGGCAAAAATGATATCTAAAATAAACTAATTAGGCACAAAACAAACAGAAAACTGTAAATTGCTAAACCTACAACAACACAAAAAAGTCTCCAGAAGATAAATAAATGACAACTAACTATTTATAACGTAAAATATAGAAATCTTTAAAATAGTGCACTAAAAATACCGCACTTTGAATATTATCATTCCTCTTCGTGCCCTCAATTCTATTCATCCGTATTCATTTCACATCTAATTGGGCTCTACGAAGAACCGGATTGTCGCTTAAACGCACGACCGATTCCAAAATCTCAACACATTAAATGCCGGAGTTCTGATTTCATAACTCCATGATCACAGCAATGTAAATGTTGCACTACTTTGATTAATTATTATTAAAAGCGTGGTTGTGTGTCACACATGAGCGCCTCCACATTCAAAATGAAACGTTAGCAGAAGCACATCCGAGTCGGTAGTTGTGTTTAACTTTGACACAATTAACTACCTGGATGAACCATGAGATGAATAAGAACCTAGTACAGCTTAAGAAAAGCTCTGCATCTAAAGCAAAACAGGCGAAGGATATTAAAGCCGGTCGATACTAAGCTAGCTACCACTGTCGTAGAACAATATCCCTTAAATCAATCTACGTATTATGTATATAAAGATATATTTTTGAGGATACAATGCGACATCAACACTTTAAACAAGATTAACAACAGACATGTGAACTATACACAACTTGTTTCCGATCGAAATTTCATTGTCTATAAGTTTATAAATGACAGTTATGAAACAGTCAAACAAAAATGTCACGACGTTGTTCTTAATACTTATTCCTAAATAAAGAGTTTATTGTATTCCTTATGACGCTTTTATAGATATTACACACGCAACGGGTGAATGGTAGAGATTATTTGTTCTTCAGAAAATGTCTTTGACAAAATTTTCTCAGCATAAAATTGAACAAGGGGTCCAAAGCATTGACGAAAAAATGGTGCAGAACATTTTTGAAATTAAAAAAAGAATGAACATGTGCCATGAACAAAATTGTGAACAGTTTCAACATTTACTGTGATGTTTAACCACAATAAATTTGTTTCTTTTTATTGTAATGACTTAGTTTTATTTTTTAATACGATATGAAGCATTTAGGCAACATGTTATACCGATGCGTGTGATATAGGTCGTAAATCCTTAGACATTTAGTAAAATCCATATAAAGTGATAGGCGGCATGCTTCCATGACCTACTTCGACCCTATAATCATTTATAGAAACCCTGTATATTATAAATCAAACTATTGGAAAACCATAAAAAAAATTCTCGCAGATTTATTACAATACATTTGTGCACTTTATGTGGTGATTTCAAAGTTTCATGCTGATTTATTATGGTTTTACTGTTTCCTAGTTTCGTACAAATTACAAATAAAAATAGTTTTCTGTTAAACTGATTCGTGAATTAACTTTTTTAGCAAGTAAAGGTTCAGTAAATCAATTATTTTTTATGTTTTCATATGCTTACTTCAACAGAGGAAATTATATTTTCGAACATTTTTGTGTTTGTGTCATCTCAAAGAACATACAAATAATAGTGTCTTACTTCAGTATAATGGGTGTGTTGCTCAAACTAACAAGTAATTAGGTGGTATTCAATTCTCTAACACCATATTTTTACACTTTTTGAAAGATGATCTAATCTCGTCCCGAAGAAACATTCTTCACATGATGACATATCTTTCAAATGACTAAGGATAAGAAACTGGACCTTAGAAGTACCTAGACCTAAATACATATGGTTGCTACTTTCAAATTCGTTAGGACCATAATCTGTATATTTAGTGTAATTTAAAGGTCACGCAATGATATAAAACGGCAGGACCAGATAGATATGCGTCTAAAATATTTAACAACAAGTCGTTAATAACACACCGAGCTTTATTTATACCTCAAAGAATTTATTTTGTGCGAATGATAATTAAAGAAACAAAGAAATACAAGTTTAAACGCGTTTATCATTTGTTCACCTTAGAGCTAATTCTATTATAAATATAGACACAATAATTTTTTCATTTAAATACTTTAAGTCAATATCGGATAGTGCAAATTATTCACACCAACATAATTTTGTGAAAAGTATAACTTAAAATTATTATACCAAATCAGTTGTGTTAGTTTGTGTCCGGGAATGTAGAGATATGGACCATCCACAAAACAGGTAATCATCACAAAGAAAGAATGCATCTATTTACAACATACTCCTATAAAAATATAAATAACTTAAAACATAATCTTTCTATGTACTGTAAAAAATTTTCCATATGTTGTAAATATCCAAACAAATTTGTTTCTCGATGCTAACAAAAAATACATGACAGCAACAGAATTGAACGACTTCATCAATCTTTACCTACACTTGAGCTGGAAATAAATCCCGATCTCAGACAAGCATCAGAATCAGGACAAAATTTCAAACAAAATTACAGGAACGGCGAGTAAGTGTCTTTTGTGGACACTCTGTGTATATATTTTAGAATTTGTGTTGTGTTGCAGTGACGTTCTGACATTTATTGTGTCTGCTTTCTACGCCAAATTAATTGTGATCTTGGGTATCGCATTGCCAGTCACTGATGCCATAGCAACCCGTGAGTACGACACGTATGATGTGAGTAATTTAATTTAAAATTAATGCAAATTTCTTAATTTGGATTAAGCGACAAGGTAAATATTAACTTTGCTGTTGTAATCGATACTGAAGCGGACAGGAGCTTCATTTTTTCCTTTATGTCTTCTTATACGAAAATAAAAGTCTATGCGATAATGTCACCCCCAAAATATTAAAAAAATACGTTTAAAAATTTCTCTGGAACATAATTTTCAACAACGTTTTTGTTTTTGCACACAGTAATTGATATATGTCCGAGTTTACTCTAAAACTTTCTTATATGCACTATTGTTAAATTCGTATTATTATACTGAAGACACAAGAAATATCGGATCAGTTTAATATCCTACACAGGTAATAGTTTTAAAGTAATTTAATCGATCATTTGAGATGAAACAGCCTGTATCATTCCAAACCACCCATGACTACTTCAATAGAAACAATAATTGTTGTTGATTACTAAATCTTAATAAACATTTGAATAACACTTGATGAGGTAATTTGTAAACACAATTATGCTTGGCCGTCAAATCGTATGTCTGCACTAAATTCACTGGATAATTTAATCGTCAATTTAAAAATAAGTCATTTATGAATTATTCTAATCGTATGGAGAAAGAAAGTAATCAAAAGGTAGCAGACATAACTGTAACGTGAGTCCAAAACGAAAATATTTCGTTTTGTTGAATGGTTTATATAAATATAAGTTTCTGGTGCACTTTGATGTAACCAAAGTTGATCTAGTAAATACAGCCAACATGCCTGTTTCATTACATTAAAATGGAACTTCTGAAGTTAGTTATTATCGTTCCAAACTTATTTTATTACTGGATAAAGAGACTGAAGAAGTATTAATTGGAAAAGTTTTGGTATTGCACTCTTAGAACTTTGTGCAATTTGATTATGCAATTATTGTGTTTTGTTTTAGGCCTTCTACATGTACCTGTACCTCGGCAGCATTATTTTTCTTTTGTATATGTACATGATTCAAGTGAAAGAAAAGTCAGCACAAGACTTTTGGCGTATGTATACCTTCTTTAAAATTGCGGACATTAGAAAGATAGTACATTGTTAGTTTAAAGTATTTAGTTAAACGAAGAGCGCCTAAATTTGATTCCTATTTCTATTAGTTTATGAACCATGCTGCGTTTAGTGTGAGAATTTATTTCAGTTGCAATATCGATTTTTGCAGCAACACTATTATGTTGTCGAACTGAAATAATAATAACTTACTAACAGCTGACGACAGTTTATTGATTATTTTTGTATTACTTAAATAAAATGCCACCTTCACACGGCAACAATATTTTCGTTAACATTCGATTTGGGAAACCTGATATACCTATGTATTTACGTAAGGTTTTCATAGACTTGTTTAAATCACTGTTAAATAATTTACATATCTAACGCTTGTCTTTAAGGACAGCACTACACTTTTCTGTTGTAGGGTGTTCAATACATTTTCAGCATGTAATATCTCCATTATTAACTTATTGTTATGAAAATTTAAATATAATTCATTCACAAATTTCTCTATATAACACACTCGAGTTTTTTTAACAATGTATCATCATCTTTTTTTTTTCATCGGTTTTCGTCATTGTTTTCAGCTTATAAAACTGTAGACACTACTCAAGAGACAGTATCGATTTTTTTGTCAGAAATGGGAAACAGTAAAATAAGTTTTTGTCGAAAAAAAATCTTTCCAAAGAATAGTATTTCAAATTGTGGGCTATAATCTAAGCATTTAAATCAATACACACGGAAATGTTTTACTGACATCGGGTGCTACCAGCGTATTTCTTATCTTAAAATATGCAACTTTTAATTACATTTTTAACGACTATGTTCTTCATTATTTGTTCTGAGTCTGATTTGACTCAGAACAAATAATTTCAAACATTTCAAACAATAAAAATCCAAAAAATATACATACATATACATATCGAAGGTGATATTTCAACAACCGTTTACTATTTTTTACTTTAAGATAACAATTTATTTATAAGAGTCTGTTTACATTGCACAATATCACTTATTTGACTCAAAGTTAACGATTACAATTTCCTCCCAAACCGGCGGAGAAAACAGACATCTAACACTATAGGACTCTTGTCCAACAACATTGAGGAACTTTCCCCATCTTTAGAAAGTACATTCGTATTTACAAAACTGTCACTCTATTAAGATGAGTCTTTCGTCAGTTTCGTCCTTTTCGCGGGATTGTTGTAATGTTTTAACTCGGCTTAAGGCAAGGCCTACTTCTCATTTATATAAAGTCATGCGTCATATTGTCCAGAAACTGTAACTTTTACCTAAAACTTAACTGCAATAAAACCAGTAAAATGACAACAAAATCGATTCATATCGAATAGCATGGAAGCTAACCTTTCGGACCAGATTTAAGATTTTTTTCCGACAAGAATGGGCAACTGAATTTTCATATTGCAATTCTTGCATTCTGCTATCTCAGCAGGCGACTGATACACAAGTATAAACTCTGGATCGTTACTGAACCAAATTGTTTGCATTATCAATTGATGACAATCTATATTTCGCGCCGCAATTTGATATGACGCTTCTGGATGACCAATAACAGAATTTCGTGTATCCAGATCCACTACATAAATCTGTCATGAAAGAGAGTAAATATACAGAGTGATTTCGAAATATACGCAATAATTTTAACCACAGCATCACGTGCCGTAGTAGTGGGGAAATATAGAAAAAACAAATTAAAAATCGAATGTGGCAAAACCCCTATGAACCACTCTCGATACGAAGTCACTGATCCACCTTGTAAAGAGAGGTGGAAAAACGTTCGAATAAAAACAATGTTTGGTTCTTGCCACAACGATTTTACATTGTTTATTAGAACAAAAATAAGAGCAACTTAGAATGCTACTACCTTTTTACAAGAAATATTGAAAATGTTGTCCTTGACTAGCAATACAGGCTTCAGCACGTCGCAACATTTTTCCACGGATAAGAAAAAACTACGGGAGTTCCACAAAGTGTAGCGGTTGCCACTTCCATTCGTTGTTGAAGCTCCTCGATAGTTTCTGGACACTGTTGATTTCCATAAACTAACTGTTTCATCCAACCACATAGGCAAAAATCACACTGACTGAGATCGGCTAAGCGCGGAGGCCAAACTACTGGCCGTTTCTACCGACCCATGCACTGGTTAAGAAAATGGTTATTTATTTAACCATTCACTTACTGGTCTAGTAAAATATGCTGGTGCTCTATCATGCAAGTACCACATGGGAACTCGTTCACCTAGAAGTACTTCCACATCTAGGTGCTCTTCCAACACACTATTTAAAAATTCGAGGTACTGTGCCGCGTTTATGCTGTTTGATGAAACATAAGGCATAAGTTAGGGCATTCACAACATTGCTGTAACAACCTTTCGCAGGAAATTACACGACGTGGAAAATCAGTGGGCTCCAAAGCTTGCACGTTTTAAACGTGGTGTGGATGTAGGCCTTGTTCTTTTAATGTTGCACGATATAAACTATACACTAGAATAAAGCTGCAAGTCGGTGAGTGCTGACGTCGGGCTGCTTTTCGATGCGTTCCAAATTTGTTCTTCAGCTTGTAGTATTCTGTCGGTCCTATCATGGCCACGAGCGTGAGTTTGAGGCTTGAAAGTACCGCGATCTCGGAGATGCTGTACCACTGATCTAAATGTTCGCGCACACGGAATCGCGCGATTTAGAAAGCGCTCGATCCACAATTCGAGGGCCAACCTGGCGTTTCCATCAGCCACACCATAAAGCACGTTAACCGAACACACGACGGCAACAAACTAATACATAACTGGCCCTTATCCAAATAATTTTTTCTAGATAGTGCTACCACTTAGGACCGTAAACTTTACACAGTGCAATAAATCTTATTGTGAGCTATTCCCCTTTTTTTATTGCACACATTTCGAAATCACCCTGTATAACAAATAAATGTATATAAACCCAAGTAACATAATCCAATAAATTAACAAAATTGTCTAAAAGAAATGAATCAGAATCACAAAATGTTTTGAGTTTACGAGTTTAAGCAACTAAGAACAAGTTTAAAATCAGATGAAGGTAGCCTATAAACAACAACTATAGCAATATCAACATCACTCATTTCGGCTGCTGCAAATTCAACAACTCCTTCAACGGTTTTATTAACACTTTCTGGTATTTCTTTACACGTCACACCTTCTCTACATAAGATCATTGTTAATGACTAGACAGCGGATTTCTGTCGGGCTTGGCAAGGCCAAACTCGGTACGGCTCGTGCGGGATGGGAATTCAGAGCAGTTACTAGCTGCACTTCGTCTATTTTCGAATAAAATAACGGTGCTTCGTTGTACTTTGCTGTTAATTCCCGTTCTCATTTACCTAGCTGTTTTACGAATTAAGGTTTCGTGAATTGTATTTATGGAATAAGTGAAAATTAAATGCACTGATTATTACCCGCTACTGATTCACAGCGATTCACGCGTCCCCACCTAATAATCGTGACGTAGCCCGACAGAAATCCGCTCTCTATTAATGACAGAGTGTGCAAAGTATGAAAAGATTATATGTAGTTATACCTATCAATGTGAAAAACTAAAGCCTCGTCATAACATAGGAAATGCTCGCAAAAGTATAACACGTCGTACTTTTTATCACTAAGAAATGCTTAGAGGTTGCATATTTTGTTTCCAACGAACTGTACACTGCACATTGAAACAAAATAAAGCAAAAATGTCACTGTTATCACAATGGAAAATCGTCAGTTATAGTAGTGTTATTTGAAGAAGGGAACAAGTTACTTGTGATATACGAATGGTTGACCTGTGTTTGTTCCTTTTTGTTGTCGAAAAAAGATGAATTTTTCACCAGTACCTACTGATTTTGGCCATGTCTCCAATTTGTATATCTCGTCCAAGAGATCCAAATCAGCAGCAACCATAAAGGACCGGCTAGGAATGTTGTCTAGATTGTTAAAGAGACGATGAAGGTAAGCGAAGAAAAATGTTGCTTCTCCGATGGGAATCGAACCACATGTTTACCGCTTGCCGGGCGGGTGCCCTTACCACTAGACAACGGAGGAGCTTATCTTTCTCCGCTTACCAACGTGTTATTGTGCCGCATCAGCGCACGGTCGTGCTGGCGTGCGAAGGAGATAGATACTGATGTTACTCCTGCTACTCTTACGTTCGTCGTTCGAATCCTGGCGGTGCTGCGGACCCTGAACACAGCGGGCATAGGGTGGTAGCAGAAGGATGTTGCGTGCGTGCGTGCGTGCTGCCTGTCGGTGGTCACCAACGAAGGTAAGCGAAGAAAAATGTTGCTTTTCCGGTGAGAATCGAACCACCCGTTTACCACTTGTCGGGCTGGTGCCTTACCACTAGACTACGGTTGCATCACTAAGTGGAGTTTTCTTGCTTGATCTTATCTCTTTACCTATTTTTGGTTAATTTAATGCGAGCACGATATGAATACGATGTGAACGCGTCAGCCTCAATCAGTGTAATGCATGGTAGAACAGGAGATTCTGTAATATGACGCATCGTCATCCTATCCAAACTACTTCCCTCACAAAAGATTAAGCTTCATTGGATCCCCAAGGGAACATAAAATTTTGAGTCGCAAATATCGCATTTTGAATTCGGCAGTACTAGTTGTGTTTCATTTCGAGCAGACTTCCTCCAACCCACTAATGTTCTACAGGTCTATCACTGGCTCTGTCCGTTAGAAGAATCCCAGATTTTGCAAACCCTGGTTTCCTAATTTAAGGTTCTGATCAACTCTAGTCATCTATTCGCTTCATCAACCCATTAAATTGTGTTCTATCAGTAACTTGTACCGAATAGAAGGGAAACACTACCGCTTTGAGTTCCCCAAAGTCGTAGAAGTCAGACCTGACCGTCGAGTCGATGAAGAAATTGTTTGTCAGTAACTGCAATAAAGGAAACTTCTTTAAGGTACCCGCGTTGTATAACTAGTGCTGACAGTACCCAGATTTACATCCACTGTT